AAAAAAAAAAAAAAAAAAAGATGCTCATTATTATAATGAGAACTTTATTTACAATATTCTTGTTAGCTTTGGAAAGTCATTTAATGTAAAATTAAGAATTGTAATGTATCCTAATAATGTTAAAAATTTCTTTGACATTATAAAAGCACTGTAATAAATTGTATTTTTATACTCTATCCATCTGCTAGATAAGACTTATATATGACAAAGAGGATTTTGAAATTTCATACCTTCAGATTATAGTAATTTCTGAGACTAAAGTGTAGCATTCACACTATAGGGAAGCAGAATGATTAGCTTTCAGTGATTGTGATTTGGTACATATAGCTAAGAGTGGAATAGAAACTGAAGAGAAGTTCTTTTAGAAATCCTTAGGCTTTAAGGATAATAGACTAAGCCTAGAATTCAACTTGTTTAGAATGGATTATCCAAACTTGTTGAACATTTATTTATGTGCTTAGGATAGGTAAATGTTAGGATATACATTTTGAAACTCTATATTAAAAGCTCTGTATTTCACAGGAGAGGAAAAATGAAGGCATTCAAAGTGAGTACTCTGGCCCACATCACATTTTCTTATCTCAACAAAGCTCTTGAAATGGTAGTGAAAGAGTTTTTTACTGTAATAGAAACTAGCCAAGTTTCTTTCTTTGTGGGTACCAAACTTGCAAGTGTTCCTGGGAGTATATGAGAGATTTGAGAATTCACACACGTTTCTTACTTCATTGACTCCAGGACACACTATTAACAGAGCAGTGTTATGGAGTATTTAGTTGTTAATGGGGGAAATTTTGACAAAATTATTGGGAACCTTGAGAGAATTAGAGCTTTGTTATTACCCCCGAAGGTAAAGAAACACTTAAGTACCTATTGTGTGCCGAACATTGAGATAAAGCCTTAGAGAAGTTTTCTAGTTTTATTCCTTTTATCAGCTCTTTGAGTGTTATTAAAATAGAAAGGATAAATTCCACAGGATCTCCTGTAGCAAATGACAAGTGGAATTTGGTCAGACTCTAGAGCTATGTTCTTTTCATTGTTCATTTTGTCCTGCAGTCCTCCTGTGTTATAAAAACGAATTGATATTGTTAAAATAATGTTATTTTTTTCTTTGGGGAAGGAAATGTGAGAGTGGGAGCACATGCATGTATTGGAGTTGGAAGTAAGATGAGAAATGAAGTTAATGTGTTTGAAGTATATCATGTGAAGACATTGAAAGGCAGTATATGGTAGTTTAAAACTGGTAGAGGCCGGGCGCGGTGGCTCACTGCCTATAATCCCAGCACTTTGGGAGGCCGAGGCGGGTGGATCACGAGGTCAAGAGATCGAGACCATCCTGGTCAACAAGGTGAAACCCCGTCTCTACTAAAAATACAAAAATTAGCTGGGCATGATGGTGCGTGCCTGTAGTCCCAGCTACTCGGGAGGCTGAGGCAGGAGAATTGCCTGAACCCAGGAGGCAGAGGTTGCGGTGAGCCGAGATCGCGCCATTGCACTCCAGCCTGGGCAACAAGAGCGAAACTCCATCTCAAAAAAAAAAAAAAAAAAAAAAAAAAAAAAAAAAAAAAAAAAAAAAAAAAAAAAAAAAAAAAAAAAAAAAGCAACAACAACAAAATAAAACTGGTAGAGGTTCCGGCAAAAAGTCAGTAAAAGCAGTTCAGTGTAAATTGTAGGTATTTTTATTACTCTAGAGATTCTATGAGATCTCAAATAATTCAATAAAGTTCTTCCCAAAGATGCATATTATTGATATTTGAGAGCAGTTTTGTTTATATCAGTGGGGACCACAGTAGTAATTTAGACTTGCAACTTAAGAATAAAATGGTCAAAATGCTCCTACATTATCTTATTTGGCAAGTATTGTTTTCATGTATAAGTGGGAAAAGCACTTACACCATAATGAGTGGCTCTTTTAATAAATACATGGGGAAGCTGTTCCTTCTGTAGAATGCTGTATTGAATATGTCTGAGATAGAAGTGAAATTTTCAATACAGACTTAGGTGATCGAATAGAGGCTATATGCATTATCTCGGGGAGGAAATGTATTTTAGGGCTTTATTTTTTGCTTACATATTTGTGTTTTTTTTATTTCTAGGCTGTTCGCTGCTATGAATCTCTAATCTTAAAAGCTGAAGGAAAAGTGGAGTCTGATTTCTTTTGTCAATTAGGTCACTTCAACCTCTTATTGGAAGATTATCCAAAAGGTAATTTTTTTCTTGTCCATTATTGTTTGATTTATACATGTGTTGGATTGTAATTATTTGTGCTTTATCAAGAGTACTATGCTAAGAAATTCTAAGTGCGTGAACATACTAAACAGTGAGAAAGGAAAGTGGAGAAGATGGAAATGGAAAAATGTCATAACTTCATCTAAATCATCAATAATTTGGCTATTCAGTAAAAGTGAAAACCACCTATATGTGCAGTACAGTTTTGTTCTGCCTTGTGAAAATCCTTGCCCTTGAAAGGCCTTCCCATAGCAGAAAGTAAGTTACTTTGATATAGATATTTGTACATTGATGGATACTTTGGAAAGGTAACAAAAACTCAGCATTTTCTTTATCCTGAAACATTTCCATTTTAGCCCAAAAATACTTGAATGAAAATCTGATCTGTAAGTAGCCGTGTTATCTGGTAACTTACAGATAAAGGTAAGTAATACAGAGAGATGATCACAGATGAGCCTTGGATAACACCAGTTTTTAAAATTTACTTGAAATATTTTTCCTTTAAGAAATGAGTGAGATAAATAACTCAAAGTAGTCCCTAAGATTTGCCCTTTTTTATGGTACCGGGCTGCCAACTCAGACCATTACTCATTTAGGAAGTTAAAAGCACCCCAAAACCCCACCCGTCCGATACCAAAGGAAAAATCCACATTAAAAGAAAATTATTATTATAACCAGGAACATTTTAACGTTTTGATGATAGTAAACATTTTGATGTGGAGTGGATGGAGGTGTTACGCTTGTTTTCAACAAGTGTGTTTAGAGGGCAAAACACCTGGCAGATAGTTTCAGGGCTAAAGTGAAGGATTGTTAGTTGTTCATGTTGATGTTTTATCATGCGACTTTTGTGTTAGGTCAAGTGAATGTTTTCCTAATGAAAATGCAATTTTAGTCTGAGGCATATTGTGTGAGGTTTGAAATATAGGCTTATTTCTCAGCTCAGCTCTATTATATACAGCTGCGTTATCTTTAACAGATTATACATAAACATTGCTGACATCTTGTCTAATCTGTAAAAGGGGGAGGAAGTGATGGATGGCACCTCATGGGTTTTCAGATTATGTGACATTGGTTAGGACTTAGCAAAATGGTTTCAGTCCAACAGGGTAATGGGTGTTAATAATTACTTAATACTCCATTAGATATTTTATCTTTAATTAAAAATGGAAACTTATTTAAAGGAAACTATTGTACAAAAAATAGAGGCATACCTGGGAGATATCGCAAGTTTGGTTTTAGACCACTGCAATTTATTGCAAATATTGTAATAAAACCAATTTTTTGTTTCCTATTACATATAAAAGTTATGTTTACACTGTAAGTGTGCAGTAGCATTATGTCTAAAAAATGTCATACTTTAGTTAAAAAATGCTTTCTTGCTAAAAAGTGCTAACAGCCAACTGAGCTTTCAACAAGTTGTAATCTTTTTGCTGGTGGACGGTCTTGCATCAGTTTTGATGTCTGCCGAATGATCAGGATGGTGGTTGCTGCAGGTTGGGGTGGCTGTGGCGGTTTGTTAAAATAAGAAAACATTGGACTTTGCCTATCAGTGGACTCTTTCTTTCATGAAAGGTTTCTCTGTATCATGTGATGCTGTTTGAAAACATTTTACTTACGGTAGAATTTCTTTGAAAACTGGAGTCAGTCCTCTCAAACTCTGCCACTACTCTGTTAACTAAATTTACATAATATTCTCAATTCATTGTTATCATTTCCACAATGTTCATAGCACCTTTATCAGGAGTAGATTCCATCTCAAGAAACTCCTTTTGGCCAGGCAAAGTAGTTCACGCCTGTAATTCCAGCATTTTGGAAGGCCAAGGCAGGAGGATTACTTGAGCCCACGAGTTTGAGACCAGCCTGGAGACCCCATTATCTTAAAAAAAAATTAGCTGGGTGTGGTGGCATGGACCTACGCTGGAGGCTGAAGTGGAAGGATCACTTGAATCTGGGAGGTCGAGGCTACGGTGAGGTGGGATCACATCACTGCACTTAAGCCAGGATGACAGAGTGAGACTCACTCTCTCTTTTTTTTGTTTTTTTTAAAGAAACGACTTTCTTTGCTCATCTATAAGAAGCAGTTTCTTATCCACTCAGACTCCACTTCTGTTTCTTTTGCTGTTTCCAGCACATCTGCAGTTACTTCCTCCATTGACTTCTTGAACCCCTCAAGGTCATCTATGGGGCTGGGAATCAGCTTCTTCCAAACTCCAGTTAATGTCGATATTTTGACCTTGAATGTTCTTGATAGCATCGAGAATGATGACTCTTCCAGAAGGCTTTTAATTTACTTTGCCTAGATCCATGAGAGGAATCACTATGGCAGCTATATAGCCTTACAAAATATATTACTTTAATAAGACTTGAGGCTTGTGGCTCATGACTTAATCCCAGCTCTTTGGGAGTCCTAGGTGGGTGGATCACCTGAGGTCAAGAGTTGAGACCAGCCTGGCTAACAAGGCAAAACCCCGTCTCTATCAAAAATACAAAAATCGGCTGGGTGCAGTGGTGCATGCCTGTAGTCCTAGCTACTCGGGAGGCTGTGGCAGGAGGATCGCTAGAACCTGGGGAGTGGGGTTGGGGGGGCAGGTTGCGGTGAGCTGAGATCGCACCACTGCACTTCAGCCTGGGTGACAGAGTGAGACTTGGTCTCAAAAAAGAATTAAGACTTGAAAGTAAAAATTACTCCTTGATGCATAGGCTGCAGAATGGATGTTGCGTTAGCAGGCATGAAAACAACTTTAATTTTCTTTTTTCTTTTTTTTTTTTTTGAGACAGAGTTTCGCTCTTGTTACCCAGGCTGGAGTGCAATGGCGTGATCTCAGCTCACCGCAACCTCCGCCTCCTGGGTTCAGGCAATTCTCCTGCCTCAGCCTCTTGAGTAGCTGGGATTACAGGCATGCGCCACCATGCCCAGCTAATTTTTTGCAGTTTTAGTAGAGACGGGGTTTCACTATGTTGACCAGGATGGTCTCGATCTCTTGACCTCGTGATCCACCCGCCTCGGCCTCCCAAAGTGCTGGGATTACAGGCGTGAGCCACCGCGCCCGGCCCAACTTTAATTTTCTTATACATCTCCATCAGAACTCTTGAATGACCAGGTGCATTGTCAGTGAGCAATGATATTTTGAAAGGAATCCTTTTTTCTGAGCAATAGTTCTCAACAGTGGGCTGAAAATATTCAGTCAGCTGTGCTGTGAACAGATGTGCTGTCATCCAGACTTTGTTTTTCTATTTATAGAGCCCAGACAGTAGATTTAGCATAAATCTTGAGGTCCCTAGGATTTTCTGAATGGTAAATGAGCAATTGCTTCAACTTAAAGGCATCACCTGGATTAGCTCCTAACAAGAGAGTCAGCCTGTCCTTTGCAAATTTGAAGCCAAATGTTGATAACTCTCTCCTGTCTATGAAAGTCCAACATGGCATCTTCCTCAATAGAAGGCTGTTTCATGGAGATTGAAAGTCTGTTGTTTAGTGTAACTGCCTTCATCAATAATCTTAGCTAGACCTTCTGGATAATTTGCTACACTTCTCCATCGGCACTTGCCGCTTCACCTTGCACTTTTATGTTATGGAGATAGCTTCTTTCCTTAAACCTCATGAACCAGCCTCTGCTAGCTTCACACTTTTCTTCTGCAGTGTCCTCACTTCTCTTGGCCTTCATAGAACCCAGGAAAGAGTTAGGGCCTTTCTCTGGAGTTGTCTTTGGCTTAAGGGAATGTTGTGGCTGGTTTGATCTTTTATCCAGACCACTCAGACCATGTCCATATCAGCAGTAAGGTTGTTTTTATTTTCTTGTCTTTTGTGTGTTCAGTGGAGTAGCACTTCAAATTTCCTTCAAGAATGTTTCCTTTGTGTTCATAACTTGGCTGTTTGGCACAAGAGGACTAGCTTTTGGTCTGTCTCAGCTCTCTAAGTGCCTTTCTCACTAAGCTTAATGGTTTCTAGCTTTGGATTGAAAGTGAGAATTGTGTAACCCTTTCTTTCAGTTGTACACTAAGAGGCCATTGTAGGGTTATTAAATATGCGTAATTTCAATATTGTTGTGGCTTAGTGAATAGGGAAGCCCAAGGAGAGGGAGAGAGACCAGGGAACAGCCTGTTGGTGGAGTAGTCAGAACACACACAACATTTATCAATTAACTGTCTTATATGGGCACAGTTAATGATTCCCCAAAGCAATTACATTAGTAACGTCAAAGATTGGTGATCACAGGTCATCATAACAGATACAGTAATAATGAAAGTGTTTGGAATATTGATTTGCCAAAATGTGACACAGAGCCATTAAGTGAGCACACGGCTGTTGGAAAAATGGCACCAATAGACTTGCTCTACGCGGGGTTGCTATGAACTTTCAATTTGTAAAGAACGTAAATATCTGTGAAGCACAATAAACGAAGTGTAATAAAACGAGGTATGCCTGTAGAATTCTATACAATCTGCTACTTTTTTATTGCTGCACCTTTATGTAGTTGGAGGACATGCTAATTTTAGAGCATGTACAGAGAGACCTAGACTTGAAAATTAGGTTTACATATGGGGCTGTATGTACTTGCTACTTAGTGGTTGTTAAACAGTAAATCTGTTAACTTTTAACACTGTTAGACTATGACTATAGCTTTATTTTTCTTTTATAAATTGTTTTTTTTTTTTTTTTTTTTGAGACAGGGTTCACTGCAGCCCCAAGCTCCTGGGCTCAAATGATTCTCCTACCTCAGCCTCCAGAGTAGCTTGAACTAGAGGTGTATGCCACCATGCCTAGCTAATTTTTGTATTTTTTTTGTAGAGACAGAGGTCTTGCTTTGTTGCCCAGGCTATTTTTGAACTCCTGGGCTCCAGCCATCCTCCCACCTCAACCTCCCAAAGTGTTGAGATTCCAGATGTGAGCCACTGTGCCTGGCCACTTATAAAAATTTTGGATATGAAGGTAATGAATCAGGGGCATTCATCTTGGATATGTGTTTTCTTTTTTA